TTATTAAAAATCTGAGCATAATTATTTTTGCAAGAAGTATATGCAAGTCTATTATTTAATTAATCATAATTAAAAATTTTTTATCATTGTTATATAGTTATTTATGGAATTTTTCATAGTTTAGAAATGCTTTAATTAATAGAAAAATTTAGTGTCCAACATAATTGCCAAATATGCTATTATATGGAAGCTTTTGATTTTTTTGTAACATCTCGATAGCCTAAATTTAAAGAAAATCGATTCGAGAAGGACTTCAATCATTGGATATAAAAATGTAAAATCAATCTCAATTATTTCAAGAAATGCAAAGAAAATGTTGTAAAAGCTGAACATGATTATATCTCTTAGTATTTAGAATTGAGTTTTCCATTGCATCCACCTCACCGAACATATTATCTCAATTAGGGTTAGTATTGCTTTACTGCTTTGACGATACCTATACTTTCTACTCTTTTATCGTGATAAATCATCACATCCATTGCCTTACAGATAACATCTGTTCCCAACCATAGGTGAGATGTCTCTTCCTATAAGATAACATCCCTACTACTACTATGATATTTCTCAAAAATCGCATTCCTATAATTCTCTATGCTCTTGTTTTTTTTATTTGACATTCTTGAGAACCGGCATCGAAATTCGATTACATGTCCTTTAGGTCACTTCCTCATTTTCTGATCCTTGAAATTTAGCGTTAAATTTGTTAACTCTTCTTGGACAAATCTAAATCACTGGGTTCTGTCTTCATCTCGTTTTCTTTTAATATCAATTGATCCTCGATCATTAATTATCAATTTGTGGACTTATTGTAGACTTCTAACCAAATACAATCCGTGGATAACTTTTTCCTCAATTTATCCAGGATATTTTGATTCGACTCCTCTCTTAGTTTAGTAGCATTTTAAATATCTCATGTATTATTCTTTCTCTTTTTAGAATCTATCTTTCTTTTTCCTCTCTCACTTTCAATGTACTTTGACCAATCTTGAATCATGCACTGTTTTTGTCTGGTGTTCTTCTGAGTAAAAAGGTATAACAACTAATCTAGTTTTCTGTAGTATAACATGATGAAGGGTATTCATATCGTTTATTAGCAAATGATTTGTCCTGCCAATAGCCAATGGGTTAAGTATTAAAGGCTCTCTCTGGAAAGTCTTTTAAATGTTCTTATAAGGTCTACTTTTTGATTTCAACTAATCTTTTTCTGGAAATATTAAAAAGATAATTCTCCTTTTAATTGCCCAAATCCTTCAGTTGATCTAAATGGCGTCTCCATTACAAGATCTTCTGCCAGCTTGTTTTTGACATTTGCTGTGTCCTTTCATCTTCATTTTAATAAATTCTTTCTTCCCATATGTTAACTTAATATTTTCAACCCAGCAAGTCATCATCCTTATAAAGAGGAAGAAAGTCACATACATTCAACGTCACCTAATTAGGAATATCTAGAAAACACTTCAGTTGATGGAAATGAGTGACAAGAATGAAATCATCTAAATATTCTTGATCCAAGGGTCAGTGCAGAAAGAGGGGGAAAAGTTTATACTAACTAGGAGTTAACTCTCTATTTGATTGTACTGTACCTTTTTCTGGGCATTCTGAAAATTTGTGAAATTACTTTTATAACTATTAGAAAAAGAAAAAGCTGATCTTCAACCTCATTGTGAAAAAATTTATGATAGAATGAGTAATCAGTTGAATTAGTTACTAAAAATTTAGTTCACAAAATACTTCAAAGCAAGTAACAATAAATTGATTTCTAAAATATCAAAGAAAAAAAACTTATAATTTTTTCTCTCTCTTTATCACAATCTTCCCCTCAAAGTCTAATCATTATTATTTTCATTTTAACAATTATAAGATATAAACGAGAGAAAACTAAGAATCATTCAAATAAAAACTAAAAACATGGAAATAATTTTTAGTTCCTTTGTTTCTATTTAATTAGCTTGCTCTTTCGTATATTAAAAGGATAACAAAAACCTTTTTATTTGAGATTATGGAAGTAATTCTTGACTAGTTAAATATTTTTATTTTTTTACAATAGTTTCTAATTCTATTAACAATTAGCTGATCTAAATCGTCTATAAGATATACAATTCAATAACGTATGAGAGAGAGATTATTATTAGGGAAAATTTAAAACTATAAAATATTATAAATAAGAGTTATATGAAGACTACTGTTTAGGGAATGGAGTTGTATTAATTTTTTCTAAATTAATAGTTTATAAGAGAATTTTTATTTCATTACATAGTCATATTATAAACTTAATCCCCTACTACTTTAGCATTTATTCTAAATTATATACGATATTTTTAAGAGTATTAGTAAAGTACAACACACATTAATGTTTAAATTCCAAAGGAATATTTTCAATATAAAATATTATATTATACATTCTTTAAGAAAAGTTGGTAAATCAAATATTTCATCTTCATAGAAATTAATGGGTGAGCATAGCAAATTTTGTGACTATTATAACTAACAAAGTTTTATAGGAAGTTTGGTGTGGAAATATAATAAATGAAATTCAAATTTTATATACTATTTGC